ACCACCAACCGTGGATTAATTAATATCGAATGATTTAGCCTCATATATTCCAAAAACTCATTCTCTATTCTGGTTAACCCTATCTTTTGCCCCATCCCATATTTGTCTCTCACTAGTCTCTCCATTTCCCATATTCTCTCACTCTAAACTTGTGTCTCTCTTTTCTTCCAACCTCCCGTTCTCTATGTTGCATTAAATTTCTACCCCCATCTCTCAAATCTCTCTACTTCTATCTCTATCTATTAATCATTGTAGAAATATGTTGCATTATTTTTTTTAGGAAAAATTTCATTCACATCTCCTAAAATTAGGTCTAAATTAAATGACATCTCCTCTCAATTCTTGAAATTTCACTGTCACCCCTTGTTAAAGTTTGTCGGATTATAGCGTTAACGGTGATTGTTAATTTACAGAAATACCCTTAAATATTTTATAGGATAAATTTTATTCACTCCCCTTGCAAATAGACATAATGTTAACGACACCATGTAAATAGACCTATTTTTAACAATACTCATCTCGTTTCTAAAATTTCAATGCACTCCATTTTAGTTATATTAAATTAACATTTAGGTTCATCAATTTAATATTTAATTTTATCAAATTAATGTCCTTTATTTAATTTAAACTAAATTAATATTCCATCTCATCAAATCAACACAAATTAATATTCAATTTTATCAAATTAACATTTAGCTATATTAATTTAATATTTTATTTCATCAAATTAATATTATTTCTTTTTTAATATTAAATTATTATTTAATTACATCAAATCAACACCAAATTGACATTAAATGTTATTAAATTAAAATTTAATATATTAAATAGAATATTAAATTTCATTAATTTGACATTTAACCATATCATATTGATGTCAGTTATTTTATTTAACACCAAATGAACATTCAATTTCATTAAAATAATATTTAAATTTATTCAATTAATATTAAATTTTATCAAATTAGCACTAAATTAATATTTAAATTTATCAAATTAAGACCAAATTTATTTAATTAATATTAAATTTTATCAAATAATATTTAAATTTTATATATGAATGGTGATGCGTGAAGAGTGGTCAGGTGATGATGTGGAGGCAAACAATAGCAGAAGAGTTAGAAATGGATGAAATTTTGACATTGACTTTATTGATTGTAATTTGTATTATAGAAAAATTATTTTTAACTATAAAAATTATAAAAACTCAATTATTAATTAAATGAGTGACAATACGATGGCTAATATTATAACAAAATTATCATACAACGCTTTAAAATGATAAAAATTCACTGGGATAATATAATAATAGAAATCACACTTACTAGTTGATTATGACATATATAATGGAAAAATGATTGTGGACATTTTAGTCCATTTATATAACAAAAGGTACTTTTGGTATTTTCACAAAATATTTAGTCAAAATCATTACTTTATCTACTAGTAGAGGTAAAAGTTACCGTTAAAGGGTGTCATTGATTTAAAAGTATAACCAGAAGGATATACAATAAAGTTTTAGAATCAAGACGGGTTGTCATTGAATTTAGACTTAACTACAAAGAATTTAAATGAAAATTTTCCTATATGTAATGGGAAAAGGGTTGAGGGCATTTTATTTATTTACATAACAAATGGTAGTCTGACATTTTTAAAAAATATATAATCAAATTGTTACTTTATATATTGGTAAACTCAGAAGTTATTGTTAAGGGGGTGTTTTTGATTTGAAAGTATAAATCAAAAGGAGATGCAATGAAGTTTCAAAATTAAGAGGGAATGTCATTAAATTTATACCTAACTAGAGGAAGTGTGGATGAAATTTTCCCTTTTTAATGTTTTTTTCCATTTTTTTTGACATGTTGAATGCATTATATTTGTGAATTTTGATTTTAGTAACCTATGAATTGCTTCCTACATTATTGGTGCCACTTTAGCAGCAAAACAATAATATAATGGCGATGTGTGTTATTTTATGCGATTTTTGGTGGTTTGTTAATGTCATCTAGGTTAGGTTCATGCTTTTATTAATCATAAGGTACTTTTGGTAATATCGTATTTTTACATTTTCTCTCTCAAAATTATGTATTTCTACATTATTTGATAATTTCTAACAAATTTCTTTTTTTTTTTCTGTGGGGAGTTGGAATCAGTTTTATGTAGTTTCCATGCTTAAATTGGATATGCATTTTATGGGCGTTGCTTTTAAATTTCTAAGACTAAGACTATTCAAAAATTGTTTTATGTCGGTATGAGATTTTTTTTTCTTTTTGTGTTGTTTTTGTTTGGTTAATGAATATTATTGATACTTATAGTCTTTTTTTAGGTAGCTTGTGAGAGAATGTTTACCTTCAATTGTTTTGCCTTCTACGGAGGGGAGGGTGCAAGTTATTGCAGAGAAGTGGACTAGTGGAAGTTTGGATTTTTTTTTTTTTGTTTTTCAGTCAAGAAGTTAGGGTTGGCATAGTGGAAATTTGTTATTTTTCTTTTTGTTGGGGGAGGGCGTGTTGGCTCTACTACGCACAGGTTTTAAGGGGTGATTCTTGGCAGGGCTGACCCAATAGAAAGGTCATTTAAACATTTGCTTAGGGCCCAAAAAATAGGAGGGGCCACAAATAATAAGTATAGTCTTTAACTATTAATGGGTCTTTGGTCCAATGAATCTCTTTATTTTATGAAAATTTTGTCTTCTTGAGGTCAAGAGTTAAAGCCCCCTTCCCCTCCCAAAAAAAAAAAGTATAGTTTTTAAATGTAATTTAAATTGGCCCAAAAATTTTGGTTTAAAGGGCCCAATCTAATAGAAATTCTTACAAGGCCTAGACTAAAATAAAGGTCCAATTTACATCTCTGTCACTTTTTTCAACGATTAAAACTTAAAAGACTTGAAAGTTCTAAAAAATACAAAAATTAATTTTCCACAATTAAAGCCTAAAGTCTACTCTCTCTTTCTCCAAGTAAAAAAAGTTCATATAGCATAATTATGTATCTCTCTCTTGCAACTTAGATTAAATTGTAAAGGTACATATTTGTTTGATTAGTAATTTATTTTTTTAGTATTTTTATTGATAGGATTAATTTAATGTAATTATTCTTTTTTATTTTGAAAGTTTGAAATACTAGATGATTTAGGAGGCGAACAAATCGTCAATTCAAAGCTTATACAATTTTTATTTATCAAGTAATACTGTGTTTAATTCTTATTGATTTTTATAAGATATTAGATTGTTTTCTTAGTATAAGTATTTGTTATTTTAAAATATATTTTATTCACAAGAATTTTTAGTTTGAAATATGTCAAGTTCTTTGAAAATTAAAACTCATAAAATTCTACTTACGATCAACTATAACACAAAAAAGATTGGACGGATTAGTCATATTACCCATTGAAAAAATATACTAGCAAAACTCAAATATAAAAATTTAATTACTAATTTTGCTTCACAAAAAATGAAAAAAAATAAAATTTTAATAAAATTTTAATCATACAATATATTTTGTTTTGATAAATATAGACCCCTATTTAACACTTTCGCTTAGGACCCCAGTTTTCATTGAGTCGGCCCTGGTTGTTGGGGGTAGGTGGGTTTGGGCAGGGAGGGAATAACGAGTTGATTGTCATGAGGGGGCAACTTGGTGGGGTGCATGGTTCTCACAATTGCAAAATTTTTAGACATTCTGTGCGTTGCACAGGGTATTGTTAGTTCAATACGATAAATCTTTGTTTGACTTGAAGGCCAAATAAATCAAACAAAGAGAAGAGCTTGAAATATTATCTTTCCTTTAATAGGAAATGGTATTTACAATGATATGGATGATGACTTTTGCACTTGATCTAAACACAGTTCTTTAAATAAATAGCTAGAAGTAAAATACATTACAAGGGGCACAAAGATGCCATGGGGGTGACAGAAGAGAGTGAGCAATGCTTTTTTGAGATCTCAATGGATGTGAACATTTTCGTAAGAAGAAGTCCCATGGAAAGCTATCTGAGCTCTTCTTCTTTCATCTACCAGCCTTCGCTGATTATCCTTCAATTTACGACACCAATACTATGTGGCTTGATCCCTCCTCATGAGATTCAAATAATGAGTTCTTCCAACATCGTTCATTGTGGCCTACCAAACGCCTACAACAACTTCTTTTTGTTTAGTCGAATTCTGATAGCTCATGGAACCTAGATTTTAAAGCTACAGTTGATAGAATTGCTATTTTTGGACATCATTGGAAAATATGAAGAGTTTTGAGACCATCTATGGAATGACCTTCCATAACAACATTGGACATGACCCAACTTTACCAAGGCGATTCCTAATGAGGCCTCAACTTGCAATCAGATCACCCGACTTCCCTCTCTAACTACCATCCTTTGGACATAGACAGAGTAGGGAGGGGAATAATTTTTTAACTCAAATACTGAAACAGGTTTACCATTCACCCATAGCTAAAATATACTTGCTAATGTTTCGGATCCTAAATTAATTTCAGATTGTTTCTTTTATGACGTACTCTTGCACCAAACGGTTAATGAACATTTTCAATCCTTACTCGAATCTTAATTTAAATTTAAATTTGAATTCAAACATGTTAAAAATAAGTTTCAGTCCTTTAATCAAACGCATAGCAGGAAAACTCAATTTTTTAATGGTCAGAATCTAACTTCTTAAAAAACTTAATAGCCTTTTAAATTTGTACTTGTCCTCCTATAAATTTGGGGTTGCTTATTGAAGTGTTGCATATCAAATCAAATTTTTCATTTTAATGTTAACTCAAATTTGAATAAAAAATTAAGTTAAGATTGAAGACGTCCTAACACCCCCTTCCTTCCTTAATGTCCAACATTGCATTCTAATTATAACTAAATATTATTCTAAGATTATTACCAAAAATTTACTAAAAATCAAAATATTGGGGTTTTGAAAAACCTATTGCATTGTTGACAAAACCGTTGCCATAACTTGGGAATCATGACTACCGGAGCCTTGGAGTGAACCTCACAAATCTTATGGCGTCGGTGGTAATGTTTCATCGTTCAAATCGATGGTGCACTTTTCCACCTGACAGCAAGGTCGCGCCACCCCTCCCCCACCACCACCAGCACTAGACACTTGCTCACCAGACCCACCAACAAGATACATTTTTTTCTTCGCATGAACCTCGCAAGGCTCTTCTTCTTCTCCTCCTACTTCTTCTTCTTCTTCCTCCTCCTCCAATTCATCGCCTTTATCTTCCACCATTTGTTTTGTGTACACCTTGTTTTCCTTGATGGTGATGGCCTTGGCTCCACCCTTTTGTTAGTATCCATTTTTTTGGTGGATTTTTCAAGATGGTGAAAGAAGAGGCAAGAGATGAAGACAAAGAAGGTACATTGGATGTGAATAAAACAAGTTTCGTAATGAATGAAGCAGAAGGCATACTTTCTGAAAGCAGAATGCATGCTGAAAGAAAAGTGAAAAAAAGGTACCATTGGAAACAAAAGAAATAGAGATTTGGTTTCAAAAGAAAGCAGAAGGTAGAAGGCATACACCAATGTATTTTACAAACTTATACCCAAAAGAGATTTGGTTTCAAATTATTTTTCAAACTCATGCCCTTTTAAACACGTTAGTTGGAATGACGTTTTCATGCTTAAAATGTCAATTGGAGTAACGTTTTTACACTAAAAACGTCAGACCAAGTGACCTTTTTTGTTTAAATTGAGACCGTCTAGAAGAGCGAAAAACGTAAATTGTAATGACGTTTTTAGATTGTATCCAAAATCGTTTCTCTTCTTTCCTTCTTCTCTCTTATTTTTCTTCTTCCCCCCAATTTTGTTTGAGCCCTATTGAATTTCCAACCTCCTTCAGGCAACAAATCACTAGCACCACCTTCAGAATCAGACCAGTCCTAAGAGAAATCTCCACAAGCATCGCCTATCTCCACCAACCTTGATTTTGTAACCAACCCACATCCAGCAGAATCTGCATCCAACTCCACCAATCCAAGGCGAAATCTCCTCCATCAGAAATCCCCTCCACCACCAGTTGAAACCCACCTCCACAAAACTTCATCTGAAACCCATCTCCACTTGCACCATTCTGCGAAATCTCCACCACCATTACCATCCCAAATCAGCACCACCTTTTGAAACCCATCTCCACCTCCACCACCCGTGAGGATGCAAGTAATGGATGATTTTGAGCAATACTCGTACACCCACCAAAGAACTAGCTCCGCAACATATGGTGGGTACTCAGCCAATAATTCACCAAGTAAAAATTTTCAAATGGGGTTAGGCAGAAATTGAGTTTGGTGAACAAGATGATGTCCATCAACTAATAATGCAACAAAGTTCAATCCGGGAATATGAAAAAAATGTGTGCCAATGATCGTACAGATGTCTTCGATGATGAAAAATAAGAAGAAGAGTTTGAGAAAGTAATGATTACTGAGCCAGATGACAAAGATGGGAATGGTGAAGACATTGAGATTGGTGCAAAGGTTCGGATGCATAAACCTTACTCCACCTCTATCACAATCACTAAATTTGGTCAGCATTCTGAAACAGATAGCTTTGTACTGTCTTTTGAAATAAATTTTTGGGATCTGATGAAGATGGAATTGTAATAGAACATGGTTTTCAAGATAAAGCTTCATTGATTAGGGCAGTTAAATGGTATTCCATCAAGTTAAATCAGGATTATGTCATGGTCAAGACGAACACAATAGTGTGGGTCGTACAGTGCAACATACACATGCAACCTAACTGCATATGGAGACTATGTGCTTATTTTAGAAAAAAAACTCAAAATATTTCAGATCACGAAATATGATGGACCTCATACCTGCTTCTACCCTCGAATAAGTTGTGATCATCGAAAGTTAGACTCTGACTTCATATGTCATAATATACTGGGACTTGTTGGTGATACACCATAAACAAAAATGTCAACAATTCAGAATAATATAAATGAGAAGTTTAAGTATGATATTTTCTACAAATAAATATGGATTGCGAGAAACAAGGTCATCGTTAAGATTTTCGGTGATTAGGACTCGCTGTATGACATGTTGCCAAAGTTTTTGGGTGTCATTAAGAAGTATAACCCTGGCTTGATTGTGAAGTGAGTACAACTATGAATCTCTTGAATATAATATTTTTATGAGTATTTTAGGCATTCAAGGCCATCATTAAAGGGTTTAAATATTGTCGACCTATTGTCAGTATTAATGGGACATTATGTGTGAAAATTATAAGAGAAAGCTGTTAGTGGTGACTGATTTTGATTCTAATAAACAGTTGTTTTCCATTGTATTTGCTATTGTGGAAAGGGAGAATAAACCAAGTTGGTCTTTTCTCCTATATTACCTTCGGTGGATAGTTATTAGGCATCGGCAAGGGATATGTTTAATTTATGATAGACACGTAAGGATCCTTTCTGCTGTGAATATGGAAGATTCTAGGTGGCATCCACCACATGCTTATCATCACTTTTGTTTTTGGCATGTTCGTAGTAATTTTAATGCACAATTTAAGGATGGTCATTTGTACTATCTTATGTGGAGGGCTGGAAGACAAGACAAGTTCGATGAGTTGATGACCTAAATACGCAATGTCAAAGAGGAAACAATTGATTACTTAAATAATATACCAGTGGAGAAGTGGACATTAGCCCATGATGGTGGACAACTATATGATATAATGACAACCAACATTTCTGAGATTTTTAATAGTGTTTTCCAAGGTGCTAGGTATTTGCCCATAACTACTTGTGTGCAATCAATATTTTATTGGATCACTAAATATCATTTTGAACATTGAGATAATGTGACAAAATTAAAAAAAAATGGGTTAGAGTTCCCTAAGAGTGTTGTAAAACGAGTATAACATACATAGAAAATGAGTCGTATCCACGAAGTGATGCAATTTCATAAGGAGTGTGGTTTTGCTGAAGTGGTGACTAGTGGTGGGCAGAAGCAAGTTGTGTATCTTGAAGATCGTTCGTGCACAGGCAAAAAATGGGCAGACAATTTACAGAATTTTTTGCTCTCATGTATTGGTTGAATGATCTCATTTTCAATTTCATTTTCAGTCGTACATAGATCCTATATACAACATTGACAATTTAGAGAAAATTTGGGAGCCCCAAATGTATACTTTGGAGCATGAACATTATTGGGATGATCATCCACATCCCAAACTAGTCCCTAATCTTAACCAATATCGAGACTTAATTGGTTGGCCAAGGACGATGAGCATACGGAATAAGATGGACTTTTCGTCAGAGGATCGTAATCAGATACATTGTGGGACATGCAGTGAAGTGGGTCACAATCGTCGGAAGTGTTCATCCATAAGCACGCGAGCTCCATCATCCATTCACTAGATAGTCCCAAGTTATTTTATGAGCTTGTTAAATTGTACTAAAAAAAGAAAAAAATGTTTTACTCAAGTGTGTATTAGACCTTATGATGCGGTTATGGTGTAAGATTTTATAGGAACACAAGCTTATAAGTACATGTTTTTTGAAAGAATATCATTATGCTATGTTGGATGTTGAAATTGTTACCTTTATAAATATTTGATTGCAAATGTTTTCATTATAATTCATAAGTGTATTTTGGTTTTGCATATTAATTTAGTTACATTTATCAATATATTATTGTGGTTTTTTTCATTATAATTCATAAGTGTATTTTGCTTTTTGCAGATTAATTTAGTTCTAGCTATGGACACTGATGGTAGGCATTTAGTACATCATGGTCCACGTGATCATTATGTTCTTTTGTTATAGGTAGAGCATCGGTCAGACTATATATGACAGGGCATAGATCTCCCTCCTTTACATTGTAGGCGTATTGAGCGCACCGCACGATAGTTACATGTCACGGTTTAGTGCATTCTTCGTCTTTTGGTTACTACTGATTTTTACGGTGTGCACAAGGTTGCGTCCAAGCGATTGGACTAGGATCTCATCACAAAACTAGTTGAGAGATGACGTGTTGAGACGCACACATTCCATCTTTCTATGGGGGAGGCCACTATCACCCTTCAGGATGTCATTGTGCATATAGGCCTACTGATCGATGGTATGGCAGTGACTGAGAGGGATAGTTGTCCTGATGACACAACTTGGCCAGCACTATGCCAACAGTTTTTTGGGTTTACACCTATCGCGAGGGCTATAGAAGAATCTTTTCTCAGGCTTACTGCATTGCGCGGTCATTTGGATGGAGGTGTACCTGTAGATGCTGACGATGCTTTTATAGCCTGTTATGCCAGATCATAGATCATGCTATTGATCGATTCATATCTGTTCATAGGCAAGTCATCTAGCAAGGTGAATTTGATGTACATTCCCTTGATTGTCGATCTTACCACTGTCGGTCAGTACAGTTGGGGTAGCGTAGCCTTGGCCTGGCTATACCGTGAGATATATGTCGCTATTAGACGCGATGCTAAGGATATCAATGGCTTGCTTGTTCTACTACAGGTATATTTTAGACTTTTGTTTCATGTTCGTACAATTGTTGTTTTAAGTTTAATGTAATGTCAAACATACGAGTTCCATTACAATTGTTTCGTGTATTTATATAGTTATGGGCATGGGAGCTTTTAGCACACATTCATCTAGAGAGATTACTCCCACGTGGACCATTACATCATGTAATAGCGGATGAAGCATATGCACATCTGGAGGATGACCCAACAGATGGTGTTGCACTTGCACTAACACGTGATCTTGCACCACATGTCGCGCCACATGATGACCTACTTGTAGGCCCTCGTGAGTGTAGGTAAGACAATATTTGTGTTGTATGGTTCATTATTCATTACTAGTACATAATGCCAACTAATGTCATATGTAACTCTGTTTTGCTATGCAGTTGGAATATTGCATTTTTCGAGCAACATAGCCTACCCATTTTCTAAGACATTACAAAGATCAACTTGATCAGATGCGGGATAAGTAGGTATACCAACAATTATACATACATGTGTTAGTTATTTGTGTTATTGGTGTATGTTGTTGTTGGTGGGTTATTGGATATATGTCTGGTTGGTGGTTGTTTGTATGATTGGTGGATGTATGTATGACTTGTGTTGTTAGTGTATGTATGAAATATAAGATGCAACAGGTGGTTTTGAAAATATTTTGGGGTCATACTTATAGGGAAAATTCTACCGAAATTTTTAATTTTTGTCTAAATCTAACAACACTGGCCATTCTTATACTGCAGATGATATGGCAACCTTTCAATGTGGATGTGCTGGCCAGCCTACCAGATTATTGCTTGAGGAGTCAGGACTCATGGACTACACGAGCACCGCTCATTTGTTTTGATGTGGTGGAGTGGCATTTCTCCGACCATGTTCTCCAATAGTTTGGACGCAAACAGCTGATACCAGCGGCTTGTGATTCCAGTAGGGAGCTGCATGCCAAAAATAGGCTTGGCACACTTGGTTATGATTGACTGACCGCACGTCATCGCTACACTAGCATGTGAGAGCAGTGGCGGGATTCTATTGTTCATGCAAGCCTACCCTCGACATGATGGATGCCACTGATCCATACATGGAATGGTATCGAAGCATTACTCATCTACTTAACAAACCACCCATTCCGTGATTTGATGTCGATTTTCATCCAGTCGACAATATCATCGAATTGTTGGTATGTGTTTTCTACTTTGTAGTTATCTACCAATGTGTGTTACAAAAATTACGTAATCTTGTTATACATCTTTATTTTATGGTGTTGCAGGAACAGACACTGACACATGTATATCACACAACATGTGATACTGTTAGGGGCGAGCCTGATTTGCAGACTAGTTTGGCAACCATCAACTAGATTGGGGATCTCAGCTACAGTTGTTTGTTATCTATTTCTAAGCACCGAAGACTTGTGCAACCACCAGGAGACATTCATCAGCCAGTAGTTGCAGCACCAATGCATGCATGCCAGCGTGGTATACGCATTGCACGATATCCAGTTGCATGCGCACATGGACATACAT